CGCAGGTCCTCCTGACTTCAGGGCCGGTGCTCTATCCACTGTGCCACCTAGCTGCCCCTGGACTGCCACTTTTTAAAATCTGGATATTTTATTTACTGAAAGGGGCAGGAAAAGGTCATTTATCTGAGAAATACAGAGAAAAGCACCTGAGGAGAAAGAAGGCAGTTCCAAAAAGGCCCTGAGAGAAAGTGGCCCTTGTGGGTAAAAGGGAAGACTTCTCCTTTTCCTGGAGGTAAAGACAGGTGGTAGTACCTGGGTTGCTTAGCAACTAATTTACATATGTCTGGTTTTTAGGACTTTTTGAATTTAAAGTTGGGAACTTATGTTTGGAGGTTATGGGGCAATTGTAAACTGACTTTGTATCATCTGATCTGACACATTATACAAGCACAAACACTGGAAAGTGGAGGACCTGCGACCAGTCAGGCCCCAAGTGACTGAGTGAAGGTCACTTTGACTCTGAGTAGGTCCTAAAAGGAAAGGTCCCCTATGGAGGCTCTGGCTGGTCCCAGGGACCAGGATAATAGGCACCAAGGGGAAAGGGAGAAGATTTAGGTGATAGGGTGGAGGACAGGATCTGGGAGGTGTTGGAGTATCAAACAACCCGCAGATCTGTGGAAGTGTCAAGTCTGTGGGTCTATGGGAGCAAACACGGCCCACCTCCCACGCTAGGATTGTCTAGGGAATGGGATTTTTGATATAACAGCCCTCTCCATCTTGCCAAAAAAAGAGCAAAGACGCTCCAAATCCATCAGGTATGCAACTGAAGGTTAGCCCACAAAAACAGAGAAGCCCAACTGGAAGGCAGAGCAGGTGTCCACAGTTCAGGAGAGGTAGACAGACTGGACTGTGCTGAGGACAGTAATGTCCTCCAAAGCCTCCTGGTGATCTTCCTTGATGTCACTGAATGTGAGATATGAAATGGGAATAGGCCTTAGTGGTCATCTGTAGTCAAAACCACTCATTTCACAGATGAAGAAACTAAGGCCTAGAGCAGTTGAGTGACTTACCAAAGGTTTCAGAGCTAGCGAAAGGGAAGAGCTGGGGTCCCAAGCCAAGTCTGGTGCTCTAGCAGAGTGCCTGGCACACACACACACACGTGCTGCTCGCCAGCCTCTTTCCACTGTTTCTCTGACAGAGTAAGCCATTAAAGACCTGCTCCAGTGCAATTGTGCTTGGAGAGGGCCATGCTTGGCTGCCCCAAAGGCCCAGCACCTCTAAACCATGGACTGTAAACCTCAGGTCTCTGCCCATGCAGGTCCTTCTCAATACAGAGACCAGGTTCGACTGTGTGCCTTCTGATGGCACCAACCTGCCAGGCCAGGCCTTCCTAACAGACAAGCCCGGTCACATTTGTGCTGGATTCTTTCCTTTCTCAGAGGCCAACCCATAAGGAAAAGTAAGGGGTTGAATAGGACAGTCTGTCAAGGTAAAGAATGCTGCATTCAGACACTCAGCCCTGGGCTTGAGTCTTGGCTTTGTTTCTTGTTAGCTGTGTAGCTTAAAAGAGCCGCTGTCAAGCTCTAGGCTTGTTTCCTTCTCTGTAAAATTAGGGCCTGGACAGACCATCTCTAAGGTGCCTTTCTGGCTTCAGATGCAGAGTGCTTTGAGGCCAGCTGGGTGGCCCAGTACATAGTGGCCTGGGCCAGGAAGACCTGAGCACAAATCCAACCCCAGACACTTACTAAGCCATGTGACCTGGCTAAGCCTCCATTTGCTTCACTTTCCTCAACATGAAATACCTCCCTCACAGGGTTTTTGTGAGGATCAAATAAGATAATATTTGTGGGGAGGGAAAAGTGTTTAGCCCAATACCTGGTGCAGAGAAGGCACTATACAGATGCTTATTCCTTTGTAGCGATGATATTTTATGGTTCTTGTTATGTCCATTCTCTTCCTCAAAGCTCTAGGCTGGCACTCTGCCCCCAGTCTCTGGGTGCTTATGAGTGTATTTCAAAGGTGGCATCCCTCAACTTCAGAGGCCTCGGTGATAGCACAAGGAAGAGCTTAGGCTGCTTCTGATGATGAGGAGGAAACAAAGGCCCCGACAGGTGCGAAGCTTCCCAGGCTATCCTCTCCCCTTCCTCTTCTCTCCCCCCTCCCCTTCACTATAAATACCCACTGATGCAAATGATGACTGCTACAAGATATTTATCATAAATTACAGGTGGGTGATTGTGAGTCTAGGCTGTAGGCCCTCTGGGGAGACGTTTCAGTTTTCAAAAAAAAAATTGTGATTGGAAGAAGGGGATGGGCCTTTTCTGAACTGCAGATGGCAGCTGTGCTCTGGCTAGGGCACCAAGGTGCCAAAAAGGAAGAGGGTGGACACTGGGACAAGACCCCGGTTTGGAAATGAGTAGGGATCAGGCACTACGTGAAGTAGCCTTGTTAATAATAAATGAGGAGTGTTTCGGGGGTGTTTGTGTGCTTGGGGAAGGCCTGCCCACACGATGGCTGAGGGAGCCATGAAAAGTTTGCTGACTTATGGAAAGTCCCAGTAAAGGTGTTTTCTAAAAGAATGTCCATTAGGATCAGCTTACCTCTGAACCTTTCAGAGGTACTGTTCGGTTTTTAAGAGAGCATGACGTCCTGGATTGGGGTAAATGACTTGCCCAAGGCCCCACGGTTCAGCAGCAGGTAAGCTGAGCAGGTTTGTGAGTTTGTTCAAATCTGAGGACGCCCTAATAGAAGGATATAAGGCTTTTGGTCTGTGTACTGCAAGACCACTCCCCAGTCACAGGGATGAAGGAGGAGGTGGCCTGAAGTGCCATTGCAAGCCAACAGCACGGTACAGTGGGAAGACTGCAGGCTCTAGGGTCAGAGAACCCAAGTTCACAACCCTGCCAGGTACTGTGTCTCTCCCTTTGCCTGGGCCTCAGTTTCTGTAAAACGAAGGCGGTGGCTTAGGTTAGATGACCTCTCGGGTTCCCTCCACTTCGAGCTCTAGGATTCTATTCTCCAAATACAGCCTTCCCGGGTCCTTGGCTGCTGTAATCTCTTGGGCTATTGGTACACGTGACCTGATCCACATCTGGGTGAAAAGCTAGTTCTGAACCTTTCCCTGAATGATCCCCATCACCTCTCTGTTGCCCCATCAGAAGAGACCCATCTGCAGGCACCCTGGCCAACTCTGTTCAGCAAGGACACTTTCTCACAGCGTTAGAATGATAAACACCAGGTAGGGGTGAAGATCATCTGAGAACTCCATTTTATACTCCACTAATGAGCGTGGACCTCCTGCTGAAGCTGTTGTCAGGATAAACACTCAGAATCGACTGCGGGCACACAGCAGGCCCGGGGGCCCTCCCCTCCCAGCCCGGGGGCTGAGCTGGCTTTCCCAGCGGCTCTGCCTCCTGCCACAGTCCCAGATGAATTCAGCCTCTTACCATTCAGGTGGAACACACTATTTCAGAGGGAGGGAAGACTGAATTTTTTTTTTAAAGGAGAGAAAAAGAAGTCACTACAGAAGAGGAACTCTTGGAAGGAGATGCATTTAATTTCATTTCTTCTTCTGACACCTTTCTTCCCCTCACAAGAGAACTTCTTAATTGAAGTCTGCACTGGAGAATACTTTCTCTATGATAGCAAATGTCCTTCTGCAGAAAAAAAAAAAAGTACTTGGTTACTGTAGATTGTACCATACTCTTTTTTTGCCTTTGCTTTAGGAAGGATGAGTGATTATGGTTTTGTGATTTTTCCCAACAATGAAAATGAAAAAGAGGCAGAGTTCACCTGGCTGGGGCTCACTTGAGTGGCAGCACCTTGATAAGTGAATGACAACACTGAGCAATCTTCTGTCCCATCAAAAAACTAATTTTTGTTAATGTTGGAGGGGCTGTGGTAACAGGCTCACTGATTGATGAGCCATTGGTGGAGCCTGGAAGTGATTCAACTTTTCTGGATTTTAATTTGGAATAATGCAAGAAAAGTGAAGTGATCCTTTGATCCAGGCCTAGCCATCCCTCTTTTGGGCATGGACCCTTCTCCCCTCCCACTCCCACCCCCCAGAAGTCAAAGGGAGGAACAAAGGTGAGCTATGTACCAAAATATCCATATGTTTTTTTGTAGCAAAGCAATGGGGGGAAAAATGAGTACCTGATTGGAGAAGAGCTAGAAAAACTAATGGATTAACATTTTGCAGCAAGATACATGAGGAATTCAGAGAAGCAAGGTAATATTTGTAGAAATTTATACAGAACTTGGAGAACTATGATAATATATTTTATATATATGTGTATATACGTACACATATGTATACTGACTAAAATAATGTAAACGAAAACAAATCACTAAAAGGAAGCTTACCTCTGAGTTCCCTGAGAAGAGATAATAAAATATCCCTCTTTTCTCACAGCAGAGAGAGGTGAGGGACTACTAGGGCAAAGCACTATATACATTGTCAGTTGCATCTTTGTATTGGATATTTTTGCTTGTTTTTGTCACAAGGGAAGACAATCTGTGGAGTGTGTGGGAAATGGCTGTAAAGACAACACAATGTATAAAACCCTAATTTTTGCAGTAGAATCGTTCACTGAAAATAGTTCACCCTTCCCCAAATTTTCAATGAATAAGACACAATATATTTGTTAGGGATCAACAATTCATTTAATGGGGGAGCTGAGGAGAGCAAGGAGTGACACTTTTAAGAGAAATAGATGAATTTCACATACCAACTAATAATGTTTTGAGCAAAAATTTAGATGAAGGAAATGAGTATTGAAGCATGAGATGTGGAGAAAAAGGGGCAAGGGGTTGGCAGAAAGGAAAGATCAAAGATTGGATTATTATTGCTATTTTAAGTTTGAAGTGCTAGGCAACAAACCTCCTTCCACTTAAGTGTAAATCAATGTCCCTAAAATAAAACTGTTCCCAGCCCTAAGACCTGGAAAGGGCCCAGGACCTCTGGTGTCTTGACCCAGCCACAGATGGCCTGGGCTAAGCCAAAGCCCCATTTGTACTCTCAGAGGCATCTACAGATGTCCCTTCTCCCAGGGCCTGGCCTGTTCTCAGTTGCCCTTAGACATGTGAATTCTGGTGCTATAACTCCAAAGCCCTGCAATATATTCCGCCCTGCAATATATTCCCCCCTGCCTTCAGAAAAATAAGAAGCCAAAATGAAGGACAAGAGAGCGGGGAAGGAAGACAAAACCACCCACATCTGCTCAGACTTCTGCAGTTTCTCCAGTGAAGATCGGCCTGTGTCAACAAGCAATGTCATCCCAACAAAAGAGAAACATTTACCCCAAACAAAAACCCTATAAATAACCGCTGGCGATGCAGCCCTCTTGCCTCCTTGCTGGTTAACAGCTGGCTATGAGCCAGGGGCATTGGAGGGGACTCTTAGAAGGGGCAGGGCCAGGCACAGGCCCAGCATGCCTTTTCCTCATCCAGGTCAAACTGCTCTTCTCACCTCTGTACAGCTGGTCATTCCTCCTTGACAGTTAGCATCAGCACTGACCCCATCTCATGACACTTCCACCCTTCTTGTCACCTGCCGCCCAGCTAAGGCACCACATCTCCTTCCTCCCCTCTCGGTCTTTCTCCGCTGGGCCCCCACTTCAGGCATTGCTCATGTTTTCGCTGCTTCACAGCACCCCCTCCTAGAATGTCCCAGTCTTCCCTCCCATCCCTAGATCCCCTTCTTTTTTTGTTCTGGTGGATCAGTTCATTCTTGGAGTTCATAGCTCCAGTGAGGAGAGAAGTCAGTCGGGGGTGAGTACTTGGCAAGGCTTCTGCCTTACTGCCCTGCAGACACACACATCACGGGTGCTGAATCTGCCACCTGAGTTTCAACACTCGGTAAGTTCCTCAGGCCCTTTTCCAGGTTCCTTTGATGGGACTCCCTCTTCCTCTTTAAGCCTTTCTTAAGGGCTGGGTGTTCTTTCCACTTCATTCTCCAGGATGATGCATCTTGAAATGGGGCTCATCAAGATCTCATGGCTCTGGGAGGTCACAGACGTTTCTCTATACCTCTCCGTATCTTGTATTCTTGAAGAAACAGAACGGTGATAAAACATCTTCGTAGCTAAGAATGGCCCTCAGCAACACTTCACTGTCCAGTGAATGGGTTCAAACCAAGATATTCAAACTCCCCTTAGGTGGAGACCAGAGCCAGGCTGTATCTGGAGGGCAAAGTGGAAAACTTGGCTGCGTCGCTTCAGTCGGATGAACATTCCTTCCTTTTTCACAGTTCAAGAGTGAACCGGGCAGTAAGCATCTTTAGTTAAGTACCTACTATGTAAATAGCTGGGCAGCTGGCAAGGGAGGAGACACTAAGCTCTGTCCATCCTCAGGATGGCTTCTGTACAGTCCAGCGAAGAAGGAGAAAGCTGGAAGACGTCAACATATGGGGAAGAATGGGTCACTAGGGTCCCAAGGTGAAGTGGCTGCAGCGATTGACTCTTTGGGTTTTGAAGCTCACTTGTTCTACTTTATTTCCAGACGTGCAACTTGGCCAGGGTATTTGCATGGGCAGCAGGAAACTTCTTCCATAAATACTTGAGTAATGGTTATGGAAAGGCAGGCAGTGTAAGGGAAGGTGGATGTGGCCAGGAAGGTGATATTTCTCAAATCCATAGAGAGGGAGGGACTAGTGAGAAAATCAAAGCCAGGTACTTGTCTTTAATGTTCAAAATGAAACTTCTGCCTCAGCAATTTCTGAAAATCTTAATTCTATCCTATAAAATGACTAAGCTGGCTAATTTGGTTTCCCCATCCAGGAGCTTGGCTCTATGATGCCCAGGCTATCTGAAGCCCAGGAAAGTGCTGAGCAGACAAGAATTCTTCATGTTAGCAACTAGAGATTACAGGTTACTCGATGAAACAAATAGCATCCAAATCCCAGAAGACTGCCACCCACTATGGGAGGAGCGGACAAAAGGACTTGTTAAGGAGAGTCACACTCCTGAATAAACACTCTCCATCTGTGTGGGGATGTCTATGATTCAAAGAGTGGGAAAATGGGCAAAAAGAAGACAGCAAAACCCTCAGGAGCAGAAAGTGGGCCAAGGAGGATCCAGTCCTCACTAGCAATGGCCCAGCTAGCGTCTGGAAGGCGGCCTCAGACAAATTTCTGGCCTTTTTCAAGTCTCTCATACCTTTGCTCCTCCACCTCCTCCTCCCATCCCTCCATGCTACCTCTTCTTGCCTTGGCATATCTCTGCTCTGGGTTGAACTATGTTCAAAGAGAAGGAAAATCTTTCCACTTAATCATGCAGTTTGATGCTATCCTACTATTTCAATATTGATATATCATTCAACATGAAATTAAATAAGAAGAAAAAGCATATTTAATTAGCTGACCTGCTTGATCTTTCTATATTCCAAGCAATGTTTTTCAGATGCCAGAAAAAGAAAAAGACCCAAACCAAAGCAAACCACTTTTTTCTGAGCCAGGTCCAGGAATTTGCTGATGTCCCCTAAGTCCAATACTTGAAGAGACAGCAGGTTTTCTCAAGCTTCCCAGAAGCACTAGCATCCCCCTCTTCAGTGCCCTCCCCCTCTACCCTCTCCTACCCGCCAAACAGAGCAAACTTGGAGCTCTCTGAGAACAGCACTTGGGGCTGGAGAGGGAGCTGATGATAACTGTGAACATGGCAGGAAGCTCTCCAGATAAACGGAAAGCAGACAATAATCTGATCAAGTTACAAAGGACAGTTAACACTGAAGGTAGAGTTGTGAAGCGAGAGACAAGACCAAGCTACAGCTTGGTAGGGCTACAATAGTCAAATGAGATCATTTTTATGAAGATTAGGAAGAAAGCTTCTTCTAACAGACTCTTTAAATCCCCAGTTGAGTATTGTAGTCCACAAAAACACTCGGGAAAAAAAAAAGAGAGACCTTAATTGCAAAATCCCAGTTTTGTATTCCTAATGTCCATTATTAGCAGGAGTGCAAACAAAAACAGGAAGCCCTGAACCTGTACAGATTACTGCAGAAACTTCAACCTGACCAGAACAGACCACAGATTTCCATCCATCTATCTACACCTAGAGATATAGATACGCACACATGCATATTTTCCATTAAATCAGCAGGTGCTGGGACTGTTTATGTGTCAGAATCCCAAAGTTGAAAAAAAGCACACAGTTGCTCCAGATACATTTCAGGAATGACAGGTTAATAACTCTGCAATTCAAGTGATTATTAACTACGGTGTCCAAAGATTGGCTTCCTCATTGTGTATTTTGTTATACCTCCTTGAAGGAGCCTCCTTGCCAGACCAGGTGTTGCAATCAGCTACATCTGGGCCTCATTTCAAAGACATGCTTGATATTTTCCTACTTTACCCTATGCATAACCGTTCAGATATAAGGGAGGGGAATTACTGCCTCAAAAGGGACTTATGAAAAAAATTACCATCTGAGCTTTTCAAAGAGATCTGGAACACCTATGATTCAGCAAATTGAGAATAACTAAAAGAAATAAAAATCATTTAGTTGCCAGGGCAATGTGTTCCATAAAAATAAACACTCCCACCAAAAACCCATTTCCTAAAGGGTGCCTCCAGGTAATAAATGCCTTAATGTATTCTCTCCCCAGTCTAGTGTTCATATGGCATTTTTGTATTCCAACATGAGTCTGTCTATTATTTCCCTTCGTTCCCTTTGCCTGGGTTAGATTAGAGAGGTAGGGTGTTAATGGTGGACTTGATGAAGATTGAAGACCCATTTTCTCCCCCTGGAGACCAGCCTGATTTGAACAAATTGAGGCAAGCAAAGCAGCCCCCCCTTCTGTCCTTGGGAGAAAACCTGTTCTATTTCTGTATCTTCAGGCAGGCCTACTCCCCTTTGGAAACAGCAGCAATAGGGAAAAAGTCCCATAACAATTCCTGTCCAATAAGGACAAAGACTTCCTAGTGTCATTTGGGCCCAAACCAAGTCACTGCATCCATCCTTTGTCTTCATCTTTTATTGGGGTTGAACAGGTGATCGAGAAGTGGGTCCTGGGAGGGACTGGTTTGAATTGTTGCTGGAGGGTCGATGTGGGTAAGGGACCAGCTGCTGCCCCCCAGGGCTCTCTTCTTCTCCTGATGCTGCTGCGGCCGCCGTCGAGGTCGTCGCTGCCGTCGAGGCCGTCGCTGCTGCCGTTGAAGCTGTTGCTGCCGCCGTTGAGGCCGTCGCTGCCGTCGCGGCTGCAGCCGCCGCTCCTGCCACCCCTGCAGCCGCCCCTGCTGGTGCCTGTGGTGCGGTGGTTTCCTCCTTGCTCTCCTCCTTGTGGGTGCTGCTCTGCTCTGGACATTCAAAGTGTACACAGTGGAATACCTGGATGAGAGAAGAGAGAGGAAGAACCGAGAGTGAGTAGCCGCCAGACTGGGCGCCATGGGATCCTGCAACAGGCCCACCACCTCCCTAGGAGAGCTAAGAGGAAGTAAGGATGGCAAGGACTTGTCAGCTGGTCTCTGATAACCTTTAGATCCAACATGCTTCAGGTTAGCTGATGACACCATACACAATCAGTTATTCTCAACAAGAGTCCAGCATTTCTGGTCTCCTTTGACTTAGCCTTCCTTTCCTTTGGTCTAAAATCCATGAGTTTTTTTCTGGGGTTTTAGGCTCTTCTAGCTTGAAGCTGGGACATTAAAATGAGAATACCACCCAACCAAAAACATCAAACAGAGAGCACATTTATCTCTAAATGGCTGTATGACTCTACATCCCATTATCCACTTCTAATGCCCAAAGCAAAGGAATTAAGCCAGAGTAGAAAGCTAGTGACATTCAACAACCTTAAACATTGCCACATTTGAAAATACAACATGGGACAGCAAGTCTGTCTTGTGATCAGAGTTCACGAGCACTGAAAGGAGTACTGAATAGCCTCGATCATCTGGTCTAAAAAGCAAAAAGGGCTCTTCTTCAGACCTCGGACCAGATAAGTGGGTAGAGCTGGCCGGCCTCCGTCCACCCAGCAGCTCCCATTAATGACCCCACAGTGGCACCCGCTGTCATGGATGAAGGACAGCGGAGCTGTCGGATCAAGCAGGGAGCAGCTGCTACCAACAGCCCTGGTGAGGGCAAGAGCCCATCTCCTCTCCTCCATGGAATAAATAAAAACGTGGAGACCCAGGCTCTGTCAGTTAGTGTCTGAGGCGGTTCCATCAGACTTCAGTTACATTACTATTTGCATCTGGAAGAAAGGTGAGCAGAGCTGGGTGAAACTTCTTTGTGGCTAATAGTGCAATTGCAGGGGTCTGGAGTTCTAAGGTTAGCTTTTCCATATGCGTATCTGTGTGTTCCAGTGTTGTGCATAACCTGAAAGGATCCCCTGAATTATGCTGTAAGGTGCACAAAATCTTGGGTACAGAGAACAATGAAGGATGGGTGGGTGAAGACTCTCAAATAATAATAAGGTCAATGAAGCCTTCATCCTTGACACATCTATGACCCTCACTATCTCGGCAATCGTGTTTATGTGGAAGGCTGCAGGATCTTATTAGGGTAGCCTGTCGGAAGGATGCTATGCTAGGGAGTCTTCAGATCTGGGTTCTAACCCTGGCACTGCTACCTTTGGCATCTGGGGTGAGTTATTCCCCTCTCTAGGCCTCAGTTTCCTCATCCGTAAAAGGAAGGGGGCTGAGCTGGATGATCTCTAAGGTCCCTTTCAACTCCGGGATTCTGTGACTATATGGATCTATTGAACTCTTACTGTGTTGCCCAGGCCTGGGGCAGAATCTGTGGGATAAGCTTTGGATTTCAAGGCCTTCTTTGGGAGATAAGACCAACACACATGAAGCAACAACAAAAATACAGAAAATCACCCAATCTTAAATTGCGTGTTACAGAAATGTTACAGGAACTCGGAAGACAGGGAGACCAAGAAGGCCAGATTAGCTGGGGAAGGCTACTCCTCCTTTATGGAGGAGGGGTGCCTTGACCCAGTCCTTGAAGGATGGAGAGAACTTGAACAAGAGAAAAGGGGCACTAATGTTGGTGAAGTGGTATACTGATTCAACCATTCTGTAGAGCAATTTGGAAATATGCCCAAAGGACAATAAAATCATGCATACCCTTTGACAAAAGGGGCATACCAGGCAGGGGAACAAGATAAATGCAGCATGGAAGCTGGGTGAACACAGTTCACCCAGGGGCACTAGGGCAGCTGGTCTGAGTAATACGGTGGGAGGCTGCTGACGGAAGACTAGGCAGAAGAATTTAAACTTGATATCGTAGGAAACAGGGAGAGGTATTTTTGGGGAGGTTAGTTACGTGATAAAATTCTAGGAAGATTAGTATGGTACCTGTGTACAGAATGGATTGGAGGAGGAAGAAAACTGTAGCTGGGGCTAAGAAGCTGTTGTAGTAATCCAGGTGTAATATGATCCTGGCCTAGGATGCTAGGCAAAGGAAAATGAACTGGAAGGGGACGGATAACAGACGTTTCAAAGGAAAGATGAATGGGACGTGTTGACTCATCAGAAACAGGGGGTGAAGGAGAGGAATGAGTCAAAGATGATTCCCAGGTTTCAAGCCTGGATGTCTGGGAGAACAACAGGCGGTGTGACTGACTGACACACCTAAGTCTCCTCCTAGAGAGATGCCCAGGCCACCGACAAACAGAACTTCATACTATCTATCCCCTTTGATTTTTCTCAGACTTTGTTTCTGAGGAAATAAAAGTCCCTTTCCACACATCCCACCCACACACACCCTTTACATTAGAATAAAGTTGAGGGGCGGGAAGCAGACAAATACATTATCAAATTATGTAATACATTTAAAATAGAATTTCCTTTCTTCCTACATCACTCTCTCCCCCACATCCTTATTCCAACTTATGTATTATTCTTGTAAAACTCAGAATTTCAACATCTTATATAAAAGATTAACTGTGCTTAAGGCATTTTCTAACCTTCACTCTTTTCTCGTTTCTCCAGACTCCATTTTTGTTCCCATAACCCTTAAGAGTTAATTTCTTTCTTTCCTTAAAGGTGATGATCTTAGATACTGTCCTTTCTGACAGTTTTTTCATAGAACAGTTTTACTGCTGAAACATTCACTGCTGTATTGAAACATTCAATAGATTCAGCTAACATTTATTAAGCTGTGTGCAAGATTATAAAGCTATGAAGAAAGATATGATGGAATTCCTGTTCAAGGAGTTTATTAATTGGAGGAAGGGGAAGGGAGAGAAGTCTACACACAAATAATTGATAAAAGTCAGTGTGAAGGCAAAGAGCAGTAAAGAGATTGACCTTGGGGGAGTGAGAAGGAGTCCAGCAGATATCATTTGAATAGAAAGAGTGGGTGCTCCAGTTTTTCTCAGTGATTGGGCTTGTTGGCCTCCTCCTTTCAGAGTCTATCCCTGAGCTGTCCATAATGATCAAAGGCCTAGATGCCAAGCTTTTTGTTTCTATGATCCCACACAAAATCAATGCTAGGACCAATTAGGGGCTGAGGGCACACTTCAAGTGCACTCAGTCTATTAGTATTTATTAAGTGCCTACTACATGCCAGGCATTGTGCTAAGTGCTAGGGATAAAGAACAGCAAACAAAAATCAGTCCCTGCTTTCAAGGGGCTCACGGTCCAATGTGGGAGTCAACATGAAAACAACTATGTATAAACACACTACATACAGGATAAATTGGAGAAAATCAATAGAGGGAAGGTAAGAGCATTAAGGAACATCAGAAAAAAGAGTCTCATAGAAGATGGGATTTTAGCTGGGCCTTAAAGGAAGCCAGGTAAGCCAAGAGGTGGGGATAAGAGGAAGAGTATACCAGGCATAGGATACAGCTAGTAAAAATGCCCAGAGTTTGGAGACGGAGTGCCTGGTTCCAAAGAATAGCTAGGTCCAGTGTCACTGAACTGCAAAATATTTGGAAGGGAGTAAGGTGTGAAAAGACTGGAAAAGCAGGAAGAGGTCACATTATGAAGGGCTTTGAAAGCCAAAGGATTTTGTATTTGACCCTGGAAGTGAAAAGGAGCATCTGGAGTAAAATCAATTGAGGGTGGGTGGGTGGGGTTAGGAAGAGTCAGACGTGCAGTTTGGAGAGATCAGTTTGACACCTGAGTGGAGGATGAGCAAACAAACCATCAGGAAGTTGCAATAGTCCAGGAATGAAGTGATGAGGGCAGTGTTAGAGGAGAGAAGGGGGTTTATATGAGAGATGTTACCAAGGTAGAAATGACAGGACTTGGCAACTGATTGGATAATGGGGGTGAGAGAGTGAGGAGTGGAGTTTGACACTCAGTTTGCGAGCCTGAGTGACCAGGAGGAAGGTGGTACCCTGTCCTGTAATAGGAAAATCAGGAAAAGGGGAGAGTGGGGGGGGGGGAGATAATGAGATAAGTGGTACACAATTTGGGTGTCATATCTGGTAAATAAAACGTTTCAAAAGGGCGGTGATACCTTGATACTATCATGTAATCTATTTTCTTTTCCAATCAATCAATCAATCAATATTTATAAAACACCTACTTCTGTCAGGCACTGTGCTCAGTGCTGGGGATACAAAAAAGAGACAAAAGACAGTCCCTGTCCTCAAGGAACTTACCATCTGGTGGGGGAGACAACATGTAAACAGATAAATACAAAGCAAGCTATATACAGGATAAACAGGAAATAATTAACAGAGGGAAGGCACTGGAATGAAGAGTTGGGTTCGGCTTCCTATAAAGAAGGGATTTCCATTGAAAAGAAGACCTCAAGGTTCCTAGCACTGGAGACTGGAGTACTGGTGGTGCCACTATCAGAAATAAAGATCCCTGAAGAAAGTAGATGGTGTATGTATTTGATCTCTGCTCATTTCATCTTCTGTAGGCTCCACATCAATGCTAAAGCAGGGGCCAGGATCCCAGGCATGAAAAACTGTCATAATTTTAAGCTAAGGTTCTCCACTGCAATTGACATTTTTTGATAGTATAGCTTCTTGTACTAGGACCATACATCCTTTCACTGACATTTAAGTGAAGAGCTGGGCCTGATATACAAAGGACTTGTAACAAGGAACCTTAATTCTAGACATACTGTGATATGGGTTGCTAAAAGTGGTGATATAGAGCAATGCTACTTTGGGGCCCCCTTCATTCCCTCTGCAGAATAATTTGTATTATCTTCTATCTACTATGTATCATTCTACATTTTTCTTGTGAATACAGTTTAATCTGTTTTCATTACAGATTTCTCCTTTCTCTATCCCTTCTTTTGTCCCATTCACAGTCCTCTGGTTACCTAACTGAGGTATATAACTGGAGTCCACTTTAATTTTGGGGGGCTCACTTGGTACATACTGAATTAGCCTGCTTAGAGACAGGGGTCTA